AGCTCTCGGTATGCTGGAAATGACCATGCCAGCAAGAGGACTCAGGGGAAAGAGGAAGGAAATAAGGTGGGTGCCCACAGCGCCTGTTTTTACCTTTTCACGCCCGTATTTCCCTGTTTGAGAAATGGGAAGGCTGTGTACTCTTCTGGGAATGGAAAGGCTCATTCCACTGGAGGATTAAATGAGGAAAGAAACAGTAAAAGTACTTTAGGACAGAGGGGACACATGGTAAGTCACTGACTGATAGGTATGGTTGACCCTGTTGGGATACTGACTTTTTTTTGGCTTTTTTCTTGGGTTTCTCTGTAGCTTTGGAGTCAGTCCTGGAAGTCACTGTGTAGACCAGGCTGGTCTTGAATGTACAGAGATCAAGGTCTCTACCTTCCCTGTGCTAGGATTAAAGGAGTTCACCACCACCGCCCGCTGGGATTCTTGAATGTGAGGGCCAGGTGGCCATGGCAACAGTCACTCCCTTGGTCACCAAGATTGGTTCATCTAATCTTGCTGGTGTTGCCTTCCTTTATCACCGCTCCTTGTGTGTCCCTCTCTGTGCTGCAAGCTCCACGGAAAGGGACACATCCCCACAGAAAACTGTTCTTTGGTCAAGGGTGTATGGGTGGGGGCTGGCGAGATGGCTAGTTGGTTAAAAGCCCTGGGTGCTCCTCCAGAGAACCTGAGCATCCAGCACCCCCATGACAGCTTTTCTTCAATTTATTGCTACTTCTCTAAATTTTGAAAGTACATTTATTTATTTATTTACATGTGTGTGCACACGCGCATATACGTGTGCATGTGTGTGTGTTCATGCACGCGCACTTGTTTTTTGGTTATCTCCTTTCATCAAGCAGTCCCTGAGAGTGAACCCAGACGATCAGGCTTGGTGGCAATCGCCTTTACCACGGACAGCTCTCCATCCTGACATTTCTTGGAAGCCTCCACTTCAAAGTGAAGTCCTGTTTCTTTGAGTACTTACCCATTAAAAAAAAGCTTTAACAGAAGCCCAAATTTGGTGAGGAGTACTTTGCCACCACCCTCTTACTGATTGGTGCTGTGTGCCCCTGTCACCTTCTTTGCCCTTTACTGCTAGGAAGGTAAACGCAGCTTGCTTACTGGCAGGCGTGTCTCTGTGGCCTTGGAGTAGAGTGACGTTGGCGGGTATCATCGGTATCATTCAAGGAGCGCAATACAGCATTGTCAAAATTTATGATGTTGCTCTCCCCAAACCCTGGGATGATGGTGGGAGGGAAGTTCTCTCTCTGGTGGTCCGGAGGGGACTGGCTTTAAGCTGCAGAGGCAATCTTTCTGGGTATTGAAAGTGTTCTACAAACAACAGTGGTCTGTGGCGGGGAGGGAAGGGTCAGGGCGCTGCTGCACCATAAAGATGACTCCACAGTTCAGAGCCCTCAACTGCCCAGGTTAGGCTCCCAGAGCCTATAGAACAGATCACAAAGGCCTGTAACTCCAGTTTCAGGGGATCTGACGCCTTCTTCTGGACACTGTTGGTACAAGGCACACACATGGTGCACTTTACATACCTGCAGCCAAAACACCCTGTGCACATAAAATAAAATAAACCTTTTTAAAAATCGGGGGAAGCAGGGAGATGACTCAGAGGGGAAGCCCACTTGCTATATCAGCATGAGAAACCTGCATCTGACTCCCCAGTACCCATGTAAAAGGCTGGGTATCATTGCCTGGTACTAAGACCCCAACATAGGTGGGCAGAGACGGATGAATCGGATGCGTTCACTGGCGTCAGCCTAGCCCAAAGAGCGAGCTTCTAGTGAGTCAGAGACCTTGTCTAAGGCAATTAGGTGGGGAGTGACAGAGAAACACATCCAACATTCCGCCCTAGTGTCCATACACATGTACACACATTCACAAATATGCACTGCACACACACACACACACTCACACACATGCTCACATACAGTTTTGAATTGTACATTTAAGATTAGATGTTTAGTGGACAGCAGAGATGGCTCAGTGATTAAATACACTGTTTTTCCAGAGGACCTAGGCTCTACTTCCAGCACCCACATGGTAGCTCACAACCATCTTTAGTTCCAGCTCCAGGGGATCTAATACTCTCTTCCGGCTTCCATAGGCATATATATGCAATTCACATGCATACATGTAGTTCACATACATACATGAACTGAAAACACTCATTAAGATAAAAGTAAATCTTTCAAAAATATTTTAAAAACTTAGAGTGTTTAGGCTGAGCATAGTGTCACGTGCCAGTGATCCCAGCCCTTGGGAGACAGAGGGAAGAGGGAGGTATGTTTGAAGCTAGCCTGGGCTACATAGTAAAACCCTCCTCTCAAAAAACAAAAGAAAATTAATGCTGTTTATTACATATTAATTTCATCTTGATTTTAGAAAGTAGGGTCTTAATTCAGCAGGGAGGAGGAATAGAGAATCCAAAGTTGCTCATCCAAATACCAGTGAAATCTGGCGTGAGTGATGGGGCTGACAGGACCATGGACACCACAGTGAAGAACAGCGGAGCTCAGTTTATTCGGGAAGGAGAGGGCGGGGTCGGGATTCTTAGCCACGCTGTTCTGTTACATCTCTCATCAGAAAGTACACAGTGGTAAGTTCCCAATCTGTTAACGTTTGCCTTCTTTCTTACTACAGAGGGCAGCTTTGTATATGTTCCCGATCAGATCTCCTTCAACCTGGCTTAGGCACAGGGGAAAGGTCGGCATGTAGCTGCCTTGAAGGAAATCCTACATTATTGGAGGTCAGCATGCCTGACTGGAGAGTAGATGGTGGAAATACAACCTCCCCAGCCCCTCCTCTCATGATCAGGGGACCCTGTGTTGTCACGAATGTTCTGGACCAGCTGCACAGCCTGGATTAATTAGCCAAGAGAGCCTTCTCTAGTCCACAGTTGTTATTATTATTATATAGGGAGACCCACCTGTCTCTGCCTCCTGAGTGCTGGGATTAAAAGCTCCAGCACCACTCAGCTCAGCTCTAAAATGTTTATGTTCTGCCACTGCCACCAACCACAGCTCTAATTGAATCTTGGTCTTAATGTATCGCTGTTATCTCTCTTCTGGTGACCTTATCGTGGCTCCTGGAGGGATGGTGGTGGTGATGTTTCAGGAGAAGAAATGAACCTTGAGAAACCTAAAGCAGAATTCGAGACACTGGTGACTCACTAGGACATGGAGATGACATATGTAGGATCATTGACTCCAGGAGCTCAGTTTGTTGGTGAATGCCTTTAATCCCAGCACTGGGTGGGTGGGTGGGGTAGAGGCAGGTAGTTCAGGACCAGCCTGGTCTACAGAGTGAGTTCCAGGACAGCTATGGCTACACGGAGAAACCCTGTCTCAAAAAACAATACAATACAAAACAAAACAAACAAACAAACAAAAAGAGCCTTCATCCTGGTTGGTGCCATAAGGTGAAGGTAAAGACACCCAGCGAGAAGTCTGTAATTGTTCCATCGACTGAGAAGAAGCAGAGGTTGGTTGGGACTGTGGGAGTCATCAAAGGGTCTTGGAGAGTGAACCTTAGAATCAGGACAGGAGGGTCCACCAGGAAGGGCAGGAAACTTCAAGATATCACAATACCTGGTCAAGCTAAAGAGTAGACTGAGCCATGAGGACTCAAGGCATCTTAGGGTGCCAAGGTACCTTAGGGTACTGAGGCATTCGTTGCTTGTAGCTGGGGTTGGGCAGGTAGAGGACCAGGACTCCTGGCAGTGTAGAATGAACAACACCGTGATGGACTTGGGCCACTTAAACGTCAGGGAAAGAAATTGGGGCCTCATTCAGTAGGTTGTAGAGAGCTGTAGGGTATGTGTGACAGAGCTGTTGAGTGTGTGTGGCAGTAGGGGGACTTTGACAGTCTCACTATATAGTCTAGGCTGGTCTCTGTGTCCTGAACACTGGGGGCTACCAATATGTACCCTATGGTTGAGCTTCATGGATAATTCAGGTTTTTTTAAAATATTTATTTATTTATTATGTATACAGCACATTCCTTCCATGTATGCCTGCAGGCCAGAAGAGGGCACCAGACCTCATTACAGACGGTTGTGAGCCACCATATGGTTGCTTGGAATTGAACTCAGGACCTTTGGAAGAGCAGACAATGCTCTTACCCTCTGAGCCATCTCTCCAGCCTGGATAATTCAGTTTTTGTTCGCATTTATTGGACTTCTCATTCCAGCCCTCACGTCCTGTGACTCTGTAAGACTGAACTCAGTTACATTTCATCTGAAATCTCCGCACTCCCTGCACTAAGTCCTTCCTTTGTTCTCTTCCTTTAAGCATCTTGAGACTCAGTTCCCTTTCTCCTAGCTTTGGCGAGTGTTTTTCAAGGCTCCCACACTCGCTCTGATTCTTCCCACCCTTCTCTGAATTCTGCTAGATGGTAAATTCTGTTGATCCTCGGGACAGGATCTTGTTCATCCATGTGTCTCCAAAAACCCAGCACGGGGCACGCAAATGGGGGTAAATAGAGGAAGGAGGGTTGAGATGTGAACCCCCAGATCTCTTGGGTTCCTCCCTGTTCTCTGCTAAGTGGGTCCTCTGAGAACAATGGAAAATCTCAGGTGTCAACAGAGGTGCTTGACAGCCAGAGATGTACCCTCAACTTAAACAATCAGTCTCATATTTTCACAACAAACAATCTGTCTACAGGAACAAATCTCCTGAGAACAAAGTGAAGCCAGGTGTATTTCCAGGCACGCCTGGGAACTATGTGAGGGTCCGTGAGGCGGAGGGTTACTTTCCAGTACTATAACCCTCCGCTTGAGTCGTGTCACCTCAGCTGCTGCTCCGAAAACCACCAGGGGGAGCAATCTCACCGTATCCCTGGCCTTGGTAGGTTTCACGCTTTCCAGGGTGTTGTCAGGAACTCTGGGAATTGTAGTCCTGGGATGGCAAGGCGGTCTACCGGGTGCGCCTCGGGACTTGTAGTTTAACACTTAGGGGCAGAACATAGGTTTAATCTCGCATGCTGAATGAATGGAACTACTACTCCCAGAGGGCCACGGGCTCCAGGGCGGTGTCGGGTTTCCGTCGAGCAATCCTTCTAAGATTGCTTCTGAGTGACCAGCTTGACTGGGTAAGTTTGATTGACGAAAGCTCCAATTTTCTACTGAGCTATCCAAAGACCTTTTCATATTCCACCGTGGGGCCTTCTTGTCTCTCAGTCTCAGAACCTGCCCGCTAATCTTTCCTCTTCATTGTTTCCTATTCAGACAAGTCCGGTCAGAATCCACCCCGCACCTAAGCCCTTGTAGGGTCACCGCGGACTGCCACTCCCACGCCCCGCGATTCCCACCTTGACCCTCACGTCCCTGAGCGCCGGCTGCTTTGTGTCCTCCACGCTGCGCTCCACTCCTCTTTGTCCTGTTTGTCTTGCGGGTGGAAGAAGACCGCCAAATTCTTCCTCCCGGTGTTGTGAACTTGAAGTGCAGCAGGAAACTCTCTCACCCGCCGCGACCTTGGGCGAATCGCACACGCTCTCTGGGACTCATTTCCTTCTGTTTTCCAATGTGTGAAAGTGCTTTGTAAACTGCACGGCCTCCACAAGCAACAGAGGTTCTCTTTGTGCCGTTTGTTGGTGCCCTAGAACATTCTTATCAGGACAGCCTTTCTGGTTTTGCCGCCTGGTTGCTCAATCCTGTCCCTTGAGATCTTGATGTCTTCATCTATGACCGGGTTATTTCTTCACTTCCTCCAGAGACCAAAGATCAGACAGGCCCCGAGCCCATGACCCCTAGAGAGCTTTGTCTGAAAGGAAGCCCAAGAGAGGTGCTTATTCTTGGAATAGCTGGCGATGAAAAGTCCACAGGGCTGGCAGAGGGACAGAGCTGCTCGCTGGAAGCAGGTCTCCAGCAGGTCAGCGCTGCAATGAAAGCCCCATCCCTTCCCTTTGGGCTCTTCTGGGCCTCTTTACTGGTGGGTGTGTCTTAAGCATGAAAAACCTGGGAGAGAAGGATTCATTTTTCCAAAGGAAACTATGCCAGGAAAAATGGAAGGCCTCAGCTGGGTGTTTTGAAAGAGAACCACAGCCTTGCTAGTTAGTTGCTAATGTCTTAGGAGTAATTACAATGTACCAGGTCTTAGGCCGTATCAGTTTCCTCCTTGAAGCGTCATGTGTGACGCGTCCCTATTTTCCATGTAAGAAAGTTAGACTTGGAGCAATCATATAGTTAGAATAATTAGAGCTGTCTCGCGAAGCCGTAGTGTCTTCTGTATCCATGCACTTTGCACACGTTAATCTTTGACCTTGTGAGTAGCTGTAGATAACAGGTTTAGAGTTTAAGGCATTGGTTGAAGAGTTCACAGATGTGGCTGTCATGCCTGATGACCCGAGTTCTGTTCCAGGAACCCACATCGTGGAAGGAGAGAACCAACTCCTGCAGGTTGACCTCTGACCTCCACATGGGGTGACATGGCACCCTTCCAATAGATAAATAAATGTTATATTTATAATATATTTAAATAAATAAGTAAATATGCATATGTATACACACATATAGATAGATAGCTCTCAACCAGCTGGTAAGTAGCAGAGATGGGATTCAAAGTCACCAAAGCTTTTCTTTTCCTTCTATAGCATAAGAACTTTATTCTTTTGATAAACATGACAGATTAAAAACTAACTGAGCTGAATATAGTGATATCCACCTATTATCCTAGCACCTGAGGGGTGAACAGGGAAATCTTGAGTTTGGGGCCAACTTGGGCTACCCAGGGAGACCCTGCCTGAGAACAGCCGAGGAGCAGAACTGGAAGATTTTAAAGCCTACAGATAACAGAGCGAGTTCTTGCTGCCTGGGAAAGCGCCTGTCCTACAGGGAGAAAGCATGACTTTTTTGTTTGTTTGTTTTTAAAGATTTATTTATTTACTTATTTATTATGTATACGGTGTTCTGCCTCCATGTATGCCCGCATGCCAGAAGAGGGCATCAGATCTCATTACAGAGGGCTGTGAGCCACCATGTTGTTGCTGGGAATTGAACTCAGGACCTCCTGAAGAGCAGTCAGTGCCCTTAACCTCTGAGCCATCTCTCCAGCCCTTTTGTTTGTTTTTTGAGACAGGGTTTCTCTATGTAGCTGTGACCATCCTGGAACTCGCTCTGTAGGCCAGGCTGGCCTTGAACTCAGAGATCCACCTGCCTCTGCCTCCTGAGTGCTGGGATTAAGGGTGTGCGCCACCATCACTTGCTAAAGCTTGGTCTTTGCACTGTGGAGTTTCCATGAAGGGAAAAGGCATACATGTGTGAAAAATTAAATAACACTTGTTGGAGAAAGTAATTTTTTTAACAGTTAATTATTTGTGCGTGACTGGGCACCCGTGGATTGTGGCGAATGTGTGGGGCCAGAGGTTCATCTCTCCTTTCACAATGTATATTCTGGGAACTGAACACAGACCATCGGGCTGGGAGACAGGCTCCTTTGCTTGCCCAGCCATCTTACCTACATTAACCCGTGTGTTTCTGGGTGGCCATGGGGATTTGCGCAGTGAGATGGTGGTAAAGTCCACAGGGTACGCTCAGGGTTTGTTGTGTGTGTGTGACCGTGCATGTCTGAATGAAAGACCCTCCCTCAGAGATCCTCAAATCCTGCTGACTGGAAACACCTGGGACTTGAAAATATTAACTTGGAGTTGGGAGCATAGCTTGTAGAGTGTTGTTGTTTTTTTTTTCTTTCTCTCTCCTCTCTCCCTGAAAATGGAGGAAATACAGTTAAGGATTACAGCGAGGTTGGGTAGTAAGTTCATAAACCTCTGCCATAGATTTCGCACGGACATCATGGGAAGCAAGTCACTGAGACTGCCAGACTAAACACTGCCCCTCGCAGCAGCCTGTGTGGGGAGTCTGGGGGAGGCGGGCTATGCTCAGAGCTGAGAGAAGGGAAGGCTGGAGTTTAGCAATTTGTCCCAGCAGGTTAGGAGGTGTCCCTGGGCCTGGTTGAGGGAGAGGCCCCAGTTGGGCACTGCCACGAATTGTGCAGCCAAGGTGAGCAATGGGACATCCCTGACCGACTCCCGTGCCGTTTATGAGGATAAGGCTGGATGTCTCTTCCTGGCAGTTTGCAAGTGAGATTGGCTTTTATCCCCCGTCCTGTCCTTGGGCATCAGTCCACACGAGCTTGGGGAACTCAGGCTGGTTTCCAGTTAGCCCCAGCATGGTCAGTTGTTGTCTTTGGTTTTTATTTTTATTTCTAAGCAGAATTTAGCTGATGGGCCCTCTCAGAAGCCTGCCAACATCACCAGAGCTCTCTACACCCCCACCTCGGTGACTCTTTTCAAACATACTTTCTTGATGCCTGACTCTAGGGCTGATCTCAGCTGAGACAAAAACCCCCTTCCACAAAACCCTGACCCCGCCTCACCTTTGCCTCCCTTTCTCCGCTGGCTCCCAGATCTACACAGCTGCCAAACGCTATTGATTCTGCTCTTCTTTGCCATGGACGAACGTAGCTAGATACTTGCTCCTGCCAGGTACTGTGCAAGGTACTTTAATTGCGTGGTTTCATTTATCTCCATAGCAACCACAAGACTGAGCCAAATCCCCTTATGCAGATACAGAATGAGGTTTAGAAAGATTAGGTTAAGATGCCCAAGCTAGATGGCAGAGGAGCTGGTTGCAGGCTTGGGTCTTTCACAGGGGACTGCTTAGTTGCTAAGGCGCTTGTCTCACAGATGGGAGGACCCGAGTTCAGATCCTTAGGGCTCACATTAAAAAAAAAAAAAAAAAAAAGGCTGGTCGTGGTGGCACATGGCTATAACACTCAGGAGACAGAGGCAGGTGGGTCTCTGAGTTCAAGGTTAGCCTGTGTACACAGCAAGTTCCAGGGCAGTCTGGGCTACGTAGAGAGACCCTGCCATTAAAGAACTAGCAGCCAGAGACCAGTGAGGTGGGGAGACGCTGCTAAACGTGACTGACTTTGATCTCTGGAACCCGCAAAATGGGAGAGAAACAACCCCACCAGTGGTCCTCCGGTACCCACACAGTACTGTCACGCGTGCGTTTCCACACGTTAAATAAATAAAGGTATTTTTAAAAATGAAAAACAAACCAGAGTTGATGGTTCACTACAACCTCAGTGTTGCTGAAATGAGAGACAGCCAGGCAGACCCTGGAAGCCTGTGTGGCCAAGGTCTAGCTCAAGAGAGAGCCTGCCTCAAAGGGTGGGAAGGGAAGTGCAGGAGACCTACATGCGAGGTTGGCCTTTGGCCTCCACATGCCTGCCACGTGCATGACCACAGACGTATGGGAATGTGTACACACAGCCCCCTTCGGCTCCTTGCAGCCAGCACTGGCTGCCCCGTGTCTCACAGGCCTTTGGCTAACACTTTCATGTCTTCCTGCCTCCCCCTGCTCTCTGCTCTCACGCTCAGGGGACACACACAGTTTCTCCCTCTCCTCAGAACTCCAGTGTCTTTTTGTCTCTCCTTTATGACAGGATCTGCAGCTACTCCGCTCTCATGTGATCCACATGTGTCCTGCAGCCGCAGCCTAAGGGGGAACCTTCGGAGACTCCTCCTCCTTCCCTCCAGCTGCGCAGTCACTGCAGGTCGCAGAGCCTAGCTCCCCTCCTCTTTGTGATAGTGCGGGTCTTCAAGTGTGCACTGGAAAGGCAAAAGGGGGAACGGATAACAGAAAGGAAAACCATCTCCTCCCAACATCATTTCACAGGGGACTCTTTGGGGACTCTCTGGGGTTTCCTTCTGGACCAGATGATGGGCAGTCAGGTGGTCTGTGTGTCGTGACAGTCGTGCTGGGACCTTGAGCAGCTCACTGAGTCTCTAAGGACCTTGGCTTGCTCAGTGATGCGCACGTGTGTACAGAGGTGGAGGCCAGGGGAGATGGCCCAGAGCCTTAGCGGCAGCCGCCTCTGAGGTCTCTTCTTGCCCAGGCTTGCTCTGACTTGCACACTGATCCTCCCAGAAGAGGAATCGGAATAATGTCAAAACAAACCACGTGGGCCAGGACCCTGCCTGTGCAGTTGGTTTTGGCTTTCACGGATAGGAATCTAAACTTTGTTGCTTTAAACGGGGTGGGTTATGGGTTAAACCCATGCCTCCTCCCCCCAAGCCAGGGTAACGCTCTCTGCCCTGGTTCATTCATCTGTAAGTTTGGTCCTGATACCTCCTTTCTCAGAGAGGTGCTGAGAAGGTTAGATGAAGCAGTGTCTGTAAGGGGCACAGTGCAGTGCTAGCAGAGGAAGCAGTAGGAGGCGCTAGGTCTCCTAGCCTTAAAAGTGCTTTTAGCCTTAAAAGGACAATGTTGTCTAGGCGTGATCACTACAGCAGTTACTGCTGGGTGAACACATGGTAGGTATAGTGTCAGCATGTGTTAATCCTGAGGCAGGGGCTTGCCCTTGAACTCACGACGTGGTTCAGTGATGCCCCTGACCTCCAGCCACCACCTCCCCAGGGATGGGGTTACAGGTGTTTATTACCACAACTGGGTTATGCAGTGATAGGAATTGAAACCAGACCTTCTTGAAGGCTGGGCAAGCACTCTACCAACTGAACCATGCCCCCAGCCCTTGTGTTTGTAGGTTTTGAGGGAACTGAGGATTAGCTCATGGCTACCATCTCCTCACCCCACCAGAAGAAAACCAAGAATGCAGTCTACAGGGCTGGGAGTGGAACATTGCACGTGCACACACCACCACAAAAACAGCAGCCAAAAAGCCAGCTTGTAAGTGTTGGCAAATAGTGAGCGTAAATGATGCATTGAGTGGCTGACAGGAAAGTTGGGGTGATAAGGGCATCAGGAAGTAGATAGGGTTGGCACATGACCTAGAGAAGCAACAGTGAAGAAGAGACCAGCAAGAGGCTATTCTGTGTTCTGCTCTCCAGGCAGCAAGTTCAGGACGCCCAGGCTTTGATCCCACTGGTGATGAGATGGGGACCGGACAGTCTGTGTGTTTCCCAACCATCTCAGGACCCCACCATGTTGGCTGCACAGATGTGATGGAAGGTCAAAGTTCTGAGGTAGGTGTCCCAAGCTCCATCCCTGCACTACCCCACGACTTCCGCCCATGTGGGGTCTTCACCACTGTAGGTCCAAGCACGCAGTTCTGGGGACCTGGGGTACAGAAGGGCTGGGCTTGGATATCAGCCCTTAGGCCTGTTTTCCTGTCTTCCTGCCTTTTAAAAAATTCTTCTTTCTGCTGGGCAGTGGTGGTGCACGCCTTTAATCCCAGCACTTGGGAGGCAGAGGCAGGCAGATCTCTGTGAGTTCGAGGCCAGCCTGGTCTACAAGAGCTAGTTCCAGGACAGACTCTAAAGCTACACAGAGAAACCCTGTCTCGAAAAGCCCAAAAAACCCCAAAAAACAAAAACCAACCAACCAACCAAAAAAAAAAAAAACCTCTTCTTTCAAAATATTAGAACCTCCCCAGCTGACGGGGAAACTTAGTTCTTTCTCTGTCGAGGAGGAGGTGCTGCTGGCTTCAGAGGCAGCACAGTGCTGACCTCATCCTGATGTAGGCGGAGGGGTGGGGGCACAGTGGCCTGACTCTGTGCCTTGGGTGGGAGGGTGGTGTCTCCTGCTTCCATCTGCTTCCCACCTTCTGAACCTCCTGCCAGTTTCTAGGTTTTTCCTTTCTCTTTTTTTCCCCCTCTTCCTCCTCCTTTTTAAACATTTTTTTTGTGTGTGTGACAGGTTTCTCATGTAGCTCAGGCTAGCCTCCAACTGGAAATGTAGCCGACGATGGCCTTAAATAAGCCCCTGGTCCCCCCATCTCTGGGATTCCAGGCGTGTGCCACCAGGGCCCCTCAGGTTCTTAAGGTTTTTGTTCCTGGTGGGTGGACTCTCCTCTGGCCTGTGAGAGACACCCACTTCCTGGTAACCTCTCTGCTGCTCCCTTCTGACCAAGCATCCTGCTGCCTCCTGAGAGGCAGCCTGGGAGAATGGCCTGGGTGACCCAATGTGCCACCCTGTTCAAACAAAGAGCAAATCCAGTTCCGCTGTTGGCACCAGGCCTGGGGCCCACGAACACGTGATGTTTTGGTGTGACGCCATTCAGGGATGTATTTAAAAATGCAACTTGACTGGGAGAGCATAAGCTATATGTTCTGTGTGCTCACAACAAATTGTCTCTGGGTTTGAGGAAGCCTTTGAGTCTCTGTTGCTGTCCAGCCTGGCTGGTGCTGGCTCCTGCTGACTCCCAGTGTCTAGGCTTCTTGGCCCAGTAGCTGCTCTCTTCTTTTCCTCAGGGGAGCTTCTTCCGACTCTTCTACCCCTGCCAAGCATCAGAGAAGTACGAGCAGCCCCTGTGGATTCCCCGCTATGAGTACTGCTTGGGCCTGGCTGACTACCTGCAGTATAACAAGCGCTGGGTGGGGTCTCTGTTCAACCTGGGCATCGGTAAGGCTGCCTGGCCCGGGGGTCTTCCCAGTGGCCTGTGTCTGTCCCCCGGAGAAACCTAGGCAGTCATAGTAATTTTAAGCTTGGTGTGGAGAGATGGGAGAGAATTGAATATGTGAGAATTTGGGTCATCGCTTCCAATCCAGGCTTTGTAATGTACTGGCAGGGGGCCTTAGGCAAGTCCCTTACCCTGCTCGCCTGCCAGCCTTTGTAGAGCTATGGGGCCAGGTATGGGAAGAGCCTCTAGTGCAGCGTTTGGAGCGTCAGATGGGGGCATGGCTGCGATTCCTAAATTTAGCACGCATTCCTACCTGCTCTATAGATCACAGCCCCCCCCCCCTTTCCTTTTATTCCAGTACTGGGGATCAAACCAAGGGCCTCATACATGTTAGGTCAGTACCCTACCACTGACCCACATCCCACTAGCCGTGTGCTCCACTGCCACCCCAGCAGCTATATCAGACATTCTTGGTCCCCAGGGAGCATCACCACCCCTACTGCATGCCCTCTGGGCCGTTCTACCTCCTTCATTCCAAGTTCCCACCCCAGGTGTCCCCATGATCCGGGCATCTCACACATCTGCCCCAGTTTTCTTCAGTACTGCCTCTGTGGATTTTTTTTTCCTGGTGGTTCTGGAGAGGGGAGGACCACAAATGCCCACCCCTGCCTATACTCAGGCTGCCCTTGGGATTGTAGTTCCGGGCAGCCAGAGATGCTACAGCCTGTGTCTCTGCCAGGATCTTGTCGCTTGCCTGTTAGCTGGAATGGCCCCTTTAAGACAAAGGAATCTGGATACCCCTTGATCATCTTGTCCCATGGCCTAGGAGGCTTCAGGTAAGAGCTTTGTCCCTCAACCTTGCCATAGCTCTTGCACCATGAGAGTTGCCGTGTCTTAATGCAGTCTCAGAGGGTCAAGCAACAGGTGTCTCACCTGCCTGCCACCTTACTGCCCATCTGCCCGCTTTCATTGCTGGGCCTTCCTTCCCTAGACCCGGGCTTCTTAAGGCTTTCCACTTGTGACTCTTTTGCTGGACATCATTACATGACCGCCCACTGTCAAAGTGTGTAAAATAGGAATACAGGTCAGCATTTGCTGGTAAGAAATCATAAAGGAGCCGGGCGGTGGTGGCGCACACCTTTAATCCCAGCACTCGGGAGGCAGAGGCAGGTGGATCTCTGTAAATTCGAGGACAGCCTGGTCTACAGAGCGAGTTCCAGGACAGCCAGGACTATGCAGAGAAACCTGTCTTAACCCCCCCCAAAAAAAAGAAAAAAAAGAAATTGATTTTAAAATAATGATTTGACACACGTATCATTTTACCACTCATTAAAAGCAAAAGCAAATTTGCATACTAATGAGCTGGATGGACTTGTTTATTTTTGCATAAGGGGTTGACTCTAGGGTAAATATTTGATACCAGAAGACCTAGAGCGTCTTCAGGGTTTTCCACGATTGAGTTTTGTTGTTTTTTTTTTAAATTATTTATTTGTTATGTATACAGCTTGTTTGCCTGTACACCAGGAAAGGGCATCATATCTCATTACAGATGGTTGTGAGCCAACATATGGTTGCTGGGAATTGAACTCAGGACCTCTGGAAAAGCAGTCAGTGCTCTTAACCTCTGAGCCATCTCTCCAGCCCCACGATTGAGTTTTGATTTTATGATCATCAATGCTGAGAATGTTGCTTACATAAATACATTGTACAAAATGACAGAATTATGCTTGAGACCATTTCAGAAATTGGAAATTTCATCTTAATCCCAAGCCAAGAGCCATTTAACACTTCTTTTTTTGTGTGAAACTCAAATTAGCATCCCAGACACCAGTCCTTTTTTTTTAAGATTTATTTTTATTCTTTTTAATTATGTGTTTAGATTGCTTGTCCGCGTGTGGGTATGTGCATGTGGCTATGTGTGCGTGAGTGCAGGTATTCACGGAGGCCAAAGGTGTCAGGTCCTGTGGAGCCACCTGATGTGGGCGCTGGGAATCAAACTCAGGTTCTCTGGAAGAGCAGCCAGTGCTCCCTAACTACTGAGCCATCTCTCCAGCCACCCCAGGTGCCAGTCTTTAAAAATCCAACATTCCAATCCAGTCCAATCCAAAACTAGACTAGCTTGATACCGACATATGGAGGAATGATGGTGGAAACACGAAAGGTCTTCGTTTTCTGTGATTAAGCCTGGAAGAGCAGACATCTTGGTCTGCACAGTAAAAACACTTCAATTCGTGGCACGCAGTAGTATCAAATCTGTGCCCAGGTGTTTCCGGTAGCCTTTTTGACATAGTCAGGCACTATGGCATGGCGTAGTACGTGGTACACATGTGTGCAGAACCCAAGGCGGCAGAGAAGTTTCCAGATGCAGCTTGGGCAAGCAGTGCCAGAACCACCTTGGATTCATATGCCGTTGGTTTTCAGTTAATTTCTGGTCGTCTGGGGACATGCTAGCCTGTGCGACCTAACCTGCAAACCCTACCCACGGCAGCTGTATACCACAAAGGCTGGGGAAAGTCGTAATACTCTCTGAGCTTGGGTTTCAACATCTGCCAGCTGGATACGTGGCTCCCACGTGGTGGCTTAGGAGATTTTTGTTGGACTGGTGCCTACTAGGTGCACAGCTCTCCAGTTCTCTCTTCTGTTCCGTGGAGGGATGTGCTGATGAGAAATTTGGTGATCTCTTCCACCAGGCATTGGGCTCCCAGGGCTCTTTCTGTCCACACCATGGGGTGCAGTCTGCTTGCCCTCCCTTAGGTGTGTTAGTGCACTCTCTGTCGGTTTATCCGTGAATATATACATCTGTCTTATTTCCCAGAATACCACACATCTCAGATGCTGCCAGCCCCCAGCTCTTGTCTGTACCACAGGCAAGGAGATCTGTTTTCAAGATGGCGGAGCGTAGTGGTTCACATTGGTTAGTCTGGAAGGCAGAAGCTACAGGGTCCTGAGTTCAGTGGGTGCTGTGTGGTGATGCCCTGTCTTACAACAAAAGAAGCCCGGATCTGACCTTTTTAGTATCTTGAAGAGTGCCTGGCAGATTGAGGTCTCAGTAAACATTTGTTGAGTACATCAGTGTTCTTCTAAATGAAACCTTTTTTTCCCTTTCTTTTCCTTTTCCTTTCCTTCCTTCCTTTCTTCCCCCTCCCTTCCTCACTCCCTTCTTTCTCTCTCACTCTCTCTTTCTTTTTTTCTAAGGGAGTGTCAGGTCCCCTGGGACTGGAGTTACAGATGGTTGTAAGTCACCATATGGGTGCTGGGAATCAAACCTGGGTCCTCTGGAAGAGCAGCCAGTGATCTTAACCACTGAGCCATCTCTCCAGGCCCTAAATGAAGCATTTATTGAGATTAGAGGTGCACACTGCACACCTGGTTTGTATGTCCCTTTCTGAGGGTGCCCATCCTGGCTCTCCTATGAGGCTGAGTTTCTAAGTGCTCTTTGTCCTTCTCAGTACTAAATACAATTGCAGCATATTTGAAAAATGACTTGTTCTAGTTTTAATTACGTGTGCATTCATGTGTTGTGTGTGTGTGCGCTCGTGTGTGTGTGTGTGTACCTGAACATAGGTACCTGAAGAAGACTGTAGAGCATCAGCTCCCTGGAGCTGGAGTTAGAGATGACTGTGAGCTTCCCAAGGTGGGTGCTGGGAATTTGGGTCCTCTGCGAGAACCGTGCTCCCTCTTGGCTGCTGAGACAGCCCCACAGTGCATCTGTCACTTGTGTGGTTGTGTTCCAGTGTCTGTTCTCCCTGCTAGACTGTAGCCTCTGTGAAAGCAGATGCCAGGCCTGTCTTCTGTGCCCCATGCGTATGACGGTGTCTGGAAGCCATAGTTTCCCAGTAAATACTCATTCGTAAAGGAACACAGTGCTGTTCTGATGGATTCCCATTCATTCACCAACCTCTCTTAAGTACTTGTTGGGTGCCGCCCCCCCCCCCCGGCACAAAAGGAAGGTGGGAAATCCAGACATGGACACGTTCAGAAAGTCACTCACGCTAGAGGGGCTGGTGGACAAACCTACTAGCCAACTAGCGATGGCAGCAAGTGGAGATCAGGTGTGAAGATAAGGCTGGGGAGGCAAGCCTGTGGTTTTCTGTGCTGGTTTCTTTCGTAGTAAACTGAGAGCAAGCCAAGTTGTGAGTACAAGAGTCGCACTCAGCCTTCAGAGCTGGGTGTGTGCGTGTGCACGTGTGAGTGAGTGTATGTGTGTTTATGTGTGCGTATGCGTGTCTGTATGTGTGTGTGTGCGTGTCTCTGTGTGTGTGTGTGTGTGTGTGTTGGCCTATCAGAGAGAAGAAACTAGGAAATAGGCACTCCCCACCCATAGCTACACTGGAGAGAGCAGTGAGCATGTGATCTGGAGGTCACCTTTTGACTAGGAAGCTAGGGACAGTCCAGCCGTCCTTCATTAACCACGAGTGAAAATTCCAAGAGGAAGAGGGAGGGGGTCAAAGAACATTTTCCTTTTAGTTTCTCTGGTTAATTTCACCTTGAAATTCTTCCCTTGTTTACGGATGGGTAGCTTCCCATCCCAGGGAAGAGCCTGAGTTGTAAATACCGCCTAGCTGGCTTCCAGAATGCCAGTGCTCCCCGTGGTCCCCACACAGCCCTCTGAAGTAGGCAGATAGGCATGAATGGACCCTGAGCAGCGAGCAGCAACTTGTCTACATCACACAGTACACACTGAGAAGGGATGAGAAGTCGTTCATCCAGTTCACTGCCTCTCTGGAAGCCTGGGAGACACTAGAAGGAAGCCTTAGAAATCGGCTCTCCCTTAGTTGTGAAAGTATATTTAACAGCCCACACCAGATGTGAGGAACTAAAGCATGATCAAATTTATTCCTTCCCTGGGCACATTGTACATGCCTGTACTCATGGCCCGCATCCCAAGTGTAAACATGGCATAGGCTGTAAAAGAAGAAAACAATACCCACCCACAAACAAAATGTCTTTATTTCTCTCGCAGTTAAAGCAAGCTAGAAGGGCAGGAACAGGGGCATCTGCTGATAACCCACCATTTAGAAGCTAGAAACTGGAGGATCAGGAGTTCAAGGTCATCTTCTGCCAAACAGTGAGTTTGAGACCACCCTGGACTACATAAAGTCCTACATCAGAACAGGAAGAAGTGGCTGAGGGGAACTAGAGGCAAACTTTTAGGGCTGACGTCACAGTTACATGAATGTATCAGAGAACCAGACTTTATAATATTGTTCTACTATGTATGGCTTCCATTATAAAGTTATCTCTTGCCCTATGGGGGCTACTTTTGTTCCAATCTACGTCTGCATCCCAGGAAATACAAAGGAGCACTCTATTTTTGAAAGAAAATCTCTGGGATACTCTTATGTGATACAGCTGACTACCTTTCATTTGTTAGGGCTGTTTGATCCATAAGCTGTCAGCTCTGTGTGATTCTTTAAGGCTTAGAAGATGGTTGGTCAATGCCAAGAAACGCTTCCAATGTAAAGTATGCACCAGAGTACAAGGTCTGCATGGGAGTAAAAGTCTACAATAACATTTCATTCATTAAAAGTTTTTATTTGGAAATTAGAGTGGGTTACACAGATTACAGTAGGTTAAATAAGGGGAAAAAGTATAATAGGCTATTATAGCTTAAATAAAATAGATCAGTAATGTTAGATTGCTTCTTTTTGCTTTTTTGTTTTTTCCTTCTTTCTTTCTTTTTTTGTTCTGTTTTCTTTGTTTTGTTTTGGTTTTGGTTTTTGAGACAGGGTTTCTCTGTAGCCCTGGCTATCCTGGAACTCACTTTGTAGACCAGGCTAGCTTTGAACTCACAGAGATCCACCTGCCTCTGCCTCCCAAGTGCTGGGAATAAAGACATGCACCACCACTGCCTCTCTCTCTCTCTTTTTTTTAACTTAAGAAATAGATTAAAAATATTTTTGTTGTTTGTGTCTGCATGTGTGTATGTGCATGTGTGTGCAAGTGTCCACTGTGGCCAGAAGAGGGCACCAGATCCTTTGGAACTGGAGTGATAGGCAGTTGAAGTAGCAAGTGCTCTAACAGCTGAGCCATCTCTTCAGCTGTCTGTTTCTTCTTGTTTTGAGACAAGATCTTGATGCATAGAAAAGGCTGGCCCTGAACTCCTGACCCCACTTTCATGTCTCAAGTGTTAGGATAGCACATGTGTACTAGCGTGTTTGGCCTGCCTGTCTTCCTTCCCTCCCTCCCTCCCTTCTTACCTCCCTTCTTCTCTTCTTTCCTTCCTTCATTCCTTTTCTGATGGCAACTCATGTACCACAAGCTAGTTTTATGCTCACTATATAACTAAGGATGACTCTGAACTCCTGATTTCCCTACCTCTGCCTTCCAAGTTCTGGGGTTATAGTTATATGCTACCTCATCTGGCTAAAATACCTTTTTCTTTGTATTTTTTGCAGTCCTGGGAATCGAACCCAGAGCCTTACACATGCTAGGCAAGTGTGCTACCACTGAGTTACAGCCCATCTTTTTTTTTTTTTTTTGTAATGTGTATAGGCGTTTTGTTTGCATGTATATCTGTATATCGCATGCATACAGTGCCTATGAAGGCCGGAAGAGGGCCCCGGATCCTTTGTAACCAGAGTGACAGATGGTTGTGAGCCACCATGTGAGCAGTGGGAGTCAAACCTGGGTCCTCCAGCAGAGCAGTCAGTGCTCTTAACTGCTGAGCAGCCCTGCAGCCATCCCAATGCTCCCTTTTAACGTTAAAAAAAAAAAATGACTGCTTGAAAATTTTCAATTGCTTTTGATTTGTATGTGTGTTTAAAATTTAGTATCATCACATGTGGTGCTTGTGGACTCATTCGTGGAAGGTAAAAACAGCTTTGTGGAGTAAGGTCTCTCCTATTATGTGTGTCCTGGGGACCACATTCAGGGTCCTAGGCTGGTGAGGCAAGCACCTCCCCTGATGAGCCATCTTTCCAGTCCTTGTGTGGTGTTTTGTTTGTTTGTTTGTTTGTGGTTTGTTTTTGAGACAGATTTCTCTGTGCTACAGTCCTGGCTGTCCAGGACTCACGCTGTAGACCAGGCTGTCTTCCATCTCACAGAGATCTTCCTGCCTCTGCCTTCCAAGTGCGGGCGTTAAAGGCGTGCACCATCACCACTTGGCCCCTTATGTGGTTTTAAAAAGTATTTATGCTGAGCATTGTGACACGTGTTTTTAATCCCAGCACTCAGGAGGCAGAGGCAGGCAGATCTTTGTGAGTTCAAGGCCAGCCTGAGCTACATATATAGAGAGTTACAGGCCAGCCTGGGCTATACAGTAAGACTCTGCTCAGTGGGTTTAGTACTTTCTGTACAACCTTGAGACTGACTTGAGTTTGATCCCCAAAACCTGTGTAAAGTCTGGCCATGGCCACACACACCTGCAATCCCAGTTCAGGAGTGGATGAGGCAGGAGGCTCCTTGGAACTCTCTGGCCAGCTAGTCTCACAGAATTGATATATTTTCGGTTCAATGAGAAATCCTGGCTAAAAATAATAATGATAATAATAGTAATAATATAGAAAGTGATTGAAAAAGACACCCGACAACATGGCCTCCACATGCAGACACACAGATGTGTACATACATGTTAACACTCAGGAACTTGTCCACACAAATCCATTAGCGTAGCTAGAATCTAGCTGGGGTTGGGGTAGACTCTAGATGGGGTAGGCATCTCGGGTTGAAGATTGACTTGCAAACACCCTGCCTCCAGAGGTAGATCCCAGAGCCCCAGGATGAGGGTTAGCCTGTCTGGGGAAAGTGCTCGGAGGACCACCCGTGACACCTACCTAGCCAGTCTTCTGAGGTGACCGCTAGCAGAGTGTGGGTGAAGCTGGGCCATGGTTTTGATCTCTTCTCTCCGTGACTCTCCAGGGCACTGTACTCAGCCTTCAGCATGGAGCTGGCCTCCCGGGGCTTCGTGGTTGCGCTCCCAGAGCACAGGTGAGCGAACTCCAGTGAACTGCCGTCAGGTGGATGCCTGTGAGCTAGGGTACAGGCTAGCCCCTGTCAGTGTGTTATTTCTCTAGTTCTGTTTGTGGTGCTGGGGCATCAGACCCACACACACAGCAAACATTCTGTCCCTGAGCCACATCCCTGGCCCCGGTGTATTATTTCTAATAACCACACAAAACAGTCATTATACCCATTTAAAAGATGTTCAGTAACTGGCTGAAGGTGACTCTGGACTCAAACCCAGGTCTGTCCCCAGCCCTTCTGCTCTCCTACACATGCCCCCATCTCCTTACCTGCCAGCCAAGCAGGGAGTCCATGTATCATGGTCGGAGGGGAGCGCACAGATAAAAGGGAGAAATAAGCTCACCACAGTCTTCTTGTTTTCTTTCTGAATGCACGTGTGCTTCAGAGACCAGTCAGCTTCGACCACCTACTTCTGCAAGCAGACCTCGCAAGAGAACCAGCCCACTGAATCGCTGGAGGAGGAGTGGATCCCCTTCCGCCGAATCAAGGAAGGGGAGAAGGAGTTCCACGTTAGGAATCCCCAGGTAGGCTTGCGCCAGGTGGCATAGTCACTGTACCATGATCAGAATGGCGAGGTGGATTCACACCTTCTGGTGTCAGTCCCAAAGATGGGAGCCAAATCATCATGGCCAAATTAAAACAAGCCATTAATTAAAGCAAGCTTTTTTACTCCTGTACACAGGCTGCCTCCCCAAGGCAAGGTTCAAGACGTTAGCCTTGGGTGTGAGGAAGACAAGTCTTCTGCAGCCCGTGGGTTTCTAAATGGGGGGTTTGGTGGGCAAAGTAGTTGGGGTTACGGAAGTGGAGCGTAAGCATAACAAGTTAGTCCCTCCTGGAACAAAGACATGGCTGCAAAATGGGCCTAGCAAGGCGGTCACAGTCATAACAACGTAGTCATAGTCATAACAAGGTAGTCATAGGCAGTCATATAACCTTTTGAAGTAAAGACAGGGTTGCGAAATGGTTATAAAGAACTGTTTGACGCAAAGACATGACTACCGTTCCGGAACAGGCAATGCAGACCGTTTGCAGTGAAGGTTACAGGTGGGGCCTAGCCCAATCCGTGAGGAACAGGTTGAATCGTGAACAGGAGAATGAACCTAGTTCGCCTTTACTATTAGATGGCCTTTACACCTAAGATGGAGGCCGGCTGCTGTTGCAGCATAGTGTGGTTCTAGCCATCTTTCCATCTCTCCAGCAAATGCCTGACAAGGGAGCAGCGTTTTTAGTTCCTAGTTCTGGGGATGGCAGCCCAAGGTCAGGTGGACCTATTGCTTGGGGCCTCTGGTGAAAATCTCAGATGGCAGGGAAGGTGGGGTATAATGGCATCCCCCAATCCCTCTTCAGGGCAGGTCTTCAATGACTTAAAGACCTCCCACCGAGTCCCGCCTTCTAAAGACTCCACCTTCCAATAGCGTCCCCAGGGGGACCAGGCCATTAACATGGACCACAAGCAAGACTTTTAACCTTCCTCAAAAGCCTCAGCTTAGTGGGCCTGAGCTCCCCACATCCATGAGAATAGATAAGGTATGACTCACAGGGCTACTGGGGTTGACAGAGTCCATGTTAAGCCTGTTTAGGTGGCAGCAGAGCTGATTGACTCACGTTGGTAGGAGGTGAGGTGAGTGGGACCTCTGGGGCAGCCTCATACCCATGGGACTTGCTCTCAGAGGGGACCAGTCCACCCCTGTCTCGGCATAACTCCCGTCCGCAGGCTGACTTTCTTTCTGAGCTTTTGCCAGCCCTGCCTGCTGATAGTTAGCCATCAGCAAGGGACCAGGCCCTGGGTGTTCCCCGGTCCTCCATCGCAGAGCCGAGCTCAAGTTTGAAAATTCCTGGTAAAGAATTCCTAGCCTGCAGAGAAAGAGGCAAGAGAAAAATTCCCACCAAAAGACCCATTGTCTGGTTGTTGGGGGCGGGGCGGGGTCAGTCCTTAAAAGGCGGGGTTAACGGGAGAAGGGGTGGCAGACAAAGGCAACAGCCTGTGCTGTAAGTGGACTTGAGAATAAGAACTCTGACAGCTCCTTCTATTGGCAAAATGTTCTCATGCACACCATCTCGTACGGCCGTCCTGGTGGCCCTGCGGGTAGGCTAGTGGAATCCGAACTCCTGGGTCTACTCTCTACGATGTCAGTGTCTGTGTGAGCTGCAAGGGGCCACAGTATCTACTGAGATGCAGTGGGCAGACCCCCTCTCCTGCTGAGTTTGTGGGGGCTGGGGTTGTGATTATGGGGTGCTCCGGCAGACTGGCTGTGTTGCAGGTTCACCAGCGAGTGAGAGAGTGCGTGCGGGTGCTGCAGATCCTGCAGGACGTCTCTGGCGGGAAGACTGTCCTCAATGTCTTTCCTGGTGGATTGGACCTGATGACCTTGAAGGTAGGACAGCAGTTGGGGTGACTCCGAGCTACACATTCCTCACAGCCTTGCTGGCTCACAGCCACCAAGAGCACCGGGAGACATCAGGTTGGCATAGTGGGATCTAGGGTCTCGAATTTGGCAGCTCTGCACCCTGATGCTCCCTCTGTAGGCTCAGTTTCCCTGTGCATGTGTGGCCTTTGTTCTCACCAGATTCCAAGCAAAAAAGATAGTTGCTAAAACCCAGGCCTGTGCCCAAACAGCCCCAGAATCCAAAAGAAAAGTCTCTCTCAGCTTCTAGGCTGTGCCAGGGAAGAGGGTATTCAGGTTGGCCTGCCTGGGCTATGCCACCTTTCCGGTCAAAGGAGCTAGGACACCCCAGGACTAAAGGTCCCACTCTGCCATATGGCTAGAGGGGACAGTTCCTTCACAAGGGCAGGGTGTTGAGGAACAGCAACTTGTCTCCTTCAGGCAAGTAGCTAAGTAGGCTTCTAAGGGAGTCCCAAGACCCCGCCTAGAAGGCATGACACTGTCCTGACTGTGGACGTGGTGGCTGGAGAGGTATAGTTTCTACCTTCCAAGGTCCTTTTCTCCCCTAATCTTTTTTTCCTCCCTCTAATGTCAAAACAAAATACATACACATAGTAAAACAGTGTGGTTTTTTTCATGCTAGCGAATTTGAAACAGGGTCTTGATTCATATCCCAGACTAGTTCAGAGCTCATTGTGTAGCCCAGCCCAGACTGTCCTTGAACTCATGGTAGTCTTCCCGCCTCAGTCTCCCAAAGTGCTGAAGTTACAGATGTGAGCTGTTAGTGTTTTTTGTTTCTTCTTCTTCTTCTTCTCCTCCTCTTCTCTTCTTCTTCTTCTTCTTCTTCTTCTTCTTCTTCTTCTTCTTCTTCTTCTTC